CAAAGGGCATGAAGACATCTTGGTAACCTTCTGTATCTTTCATGGGTAGTAAGGTTCTTTGGGAGATTTAGAAAGAAAATCTGTTTGCAGGAACCAAAATACAATTGGAAAGACAGCCCCTGGGTATCAGTACATCTCCTTAAATAATGTCAAACGCTTCTTGGAATGCCATGCCTTGGACAGGATAGTTGTGTCACAGTGACTTACTGAACATGAGCTCAGTAGCTCAGTACCTGTTTCTTGCTTCAGCACAGCTTCTTGGGAAAGAGCTGGCACCAATCTGGCATTTAACATGAGAATTTCAAAGACTTCAAACTACTTGATCATACTGTATTTCTCTTCAACATCGAGGTTTCCTCAAGTTTCTACCAGGCCACACGCATCATATGTCAGAAATGTTTTCAGGAAAGAGCCCATCTAATGTTACTTGTCAGCACTGATTCCTTTAGCAAGAGTGCAAAACTGTTTTCAGCCTGCTGTGATGGCTATTTTTATCTCCATTAACCTCTTGACTGAATATAAACATTTATTGAGGGTTACCTCTCTTGTTTGTCCAGTTGCTTCAAAGGTTAGTAAAAAGTGGATGCCTGCCTGACCTCTTTTATCCTCATTAGCTGATTCTAATTGTTTCCTGAGAGATCACAGTTTTGACCCTGCTTGTCCTTGTCAAATTTGTCTAGTTATGGCACAAAGACATTAGCAGAAATTGCATTTTCAGGTAAAAATTACTCAAGTGTAGAATGCACGCTTACCTAGTGTAGAGCAGTGAACAATACTGTGGTTTTATAATGTACCCTCATTTATAAAATGTGAGGTTACTACTGTATGGCCCCATCTTACAGACATCCACGTTAGCAGAGCCCTGTGATTATACATAGGCAGTAGGCAGGATGTTTTGTAAACTTTTGACCAGTGTGTAGCAGTTCTTTTGGAGGGAGAAATTAAATTATGTTTAGTTTTTGAATTCTTATTTCTAAGCAGTTGAAATATTATTGCTCCTGTGACAAGAAAGCTTTTTTTTGTGTAAAAAGGTACCTTTCTTATGCTAGAGTTATTCCTAATAGCACTGTAAAAAAACCCCAACAGCATAAAGTAGGTAACACCTACCCTCCACTATTTTGGGAATGACCAACTAAATTTTACAGCATGACAAGTATATCTCATGAATTACAGGATGATTTTCATAGAACTCTGTGAGAGTCAGTGCATGAACTACTTCAAGGGGGATGATGTCCCAAAGGTGAAGAGCTGTCATGAAGAACATGTTGCCTTGCGAAGACTTTCTTCTATGTCAAGCTAAGAAAGCCTTTTTTCATGTTCCTCAGTGGTTCTCAGCCATGGTTGTACAGTTCAGACAAAGGACCTGGCAGGTCTCAATTAGGTATCTCAAACAGACAGGTCCCAGGCTTCATAGATTGTAACCAGTGCCTTAAATCCCACAGACACTTAGTGCAGATTAAAAAGCACTGGTGTAATGCGCTCAAAGCACGATATCCTGCTTTAGAAGCGGGTTGCAGCATTCTGCACCCGCTTCAGCTTTCAAATGGATTTAAAATGTAGCCTCAGGTATAGCGCATTGCAGTAGTCTAATCTTGAGGTGATAAAGGCATGACTGATTTAACCATAGCTTCTTGTTATCTTGAACTGGGGTCTTTTCATTTTAACCATTTTAAGGAAATGGCCTTTCCTGAATCAGCAGGCTTGCTTCAGTTCTTGCTGTGTAATAAGGCACAACAAGAGCAATCCTCTCTCGGTGGTGAACACCTCCTATGAATGTGTGAACCTCACAGGATGCCAGACCCCAAGAACTGCTGCCATGGTCCTGACTTGCCTTACAGCTCACACAGTATGGCTGTGAGGTGCATCAAAGACAAGCCATGGCTCATATCCTTCAGTGGAGCTGCCAAGCTTTACAAGCAGCCAGGGCCTTGTGAAGTTTCGCTTTCATATTAAAAGAAGTTTATTTACATATCTGTGCAGCTTGGGCGCAGAGCTATGAGAGAATGGGAAATTCTTTTGAGGTGTCCACCAGTTCTTCTAGGCTAGAAGAGCTGTGAAACAAAACACCCTGTTCCTCCTCCAGTCTATCTCTAGTGCTTAGAGACCACTTACAGCTGCAGAGCTGATTAAGAGTTTTACTGCCAAGCCAACCTGGAAGCTAATTTAGCGATAACCGTGTAGTTCTTTAAGTTTCAAAAAAGCCCTGTAAATGGGGAATGGCAAAGCAGACACATATGCTGACTGCTGGTGCTCAGTCTACCTGCTGCTGTCCCTGCTTTGCCTCAGAAGGGATAAGGCACCTGCCTGGGCTCCTTGCCTTGTCTGGAGAAAACTGGGGTGGTGGCCTGGGACTAAGTCCACCCCTTTACTAAGGGAGAAACTAATCTCCATGAGAAAGTCAAATGGTATCTCTGCATCTCATTCTTCTTTAGCAGTATGTGGTTAAGTATAATCCTTTCCCAGGATGTATTATTTGTCCTGACTATGTAGATAATAAACTGTTGCCCAGCACAAGAAGATCCTGATATTATTTGAGGCTTTTTGATACCACCTTAATGCAGATAATACCCTTAAAGATGGAAGAGACACAATGTAATGTCAGACGTCTGGAAAGAAGAAAACCAGAAATAGGAATTAGATCTTGTAAAAATTAAATAGATGATCCCTTTGGCACTTAAAAGAGAATTTTGGTTTGTTCTGCTTTTCAACTTGGTCACCAACTTAGGAAAAAAAGCCCCTTGTTTGAATGTCTTAATCATTTATGGTGTACTTGTAAAAGTTCACTAGCTGGATAATATTGCACTGTCTTTTGATTGTATGTGGGATTACCAGAGACTGAGAGCACATATAAGCACAAAAACATGTTAAAGGTTTAACTGAAATGGCAGTTGGAGAAATGCAGCAAGTGGTAGGAACATGTCCTGATCCTCCTCCACATCATTGCTGTGAAGCCGTGGTTACTAACATTCATGTTACAGCTTGTATTTAATTCGGGTATGATTCTCAGGTGTGTGAGGAATAGCTACTTTTCATTGTTTCCATGGCAGCCTTAGCACTGTTTTGGTGTAAATTACACTGAAGTCCAGACTTTTCTATAATAGAAGATAGAGATGATAGTTCGATTACCTTTCATCTCACCTCTTGCAACTCTTTTTTGGTTCATGCCTTGTTTACATCATTATTTTCTATGCAGTCCATATGTAAATACTTTACACTGATTTCATAACTGATAATATCAGGATTCTTGATAATTTACATAGGAATGTAACCAATTTTTTGAAAAATTAATAAAATTGTCTTGTTTATTGGCCAGTTATTAATTAGAATGTAAATTCAGAATATAAGTGCATGCAGCTGTGTTGACTCTAGCAGACATACTTTCTGCAACTTCCCTTAGAAAAAGCAGTATTAGGAACTGAGACATTGCGTGTCTCTGGTTTCTGTATTTTTACACTAGGTAAGTATATTTTTGCTAGATGTTACATTCCTTTCTCCTAATTTCATTCATCATTTCTACCTGTTTTTTCCAATACTTATGGAGGATGAATAATGTCATGGAGTGCATATAGATGAAGCGTGACTTATGCCCAAACATTTGTATGAAAAATGCAAAATCTGAAGTGAAAATTAAGTAAAAAGTACTATCTTTGATAAAACATTACTGGAACTTGAAAAGATAAAAAACCCCTGAATTATGAAGAACTGTGATATTTAATATATATTTTTCTATAATCATTATTAAAATATTGATATATCATAATTATAGTAACTATATATTTTATATAATTATTAATTATATCTTATGTAACTAAAACATTTTCAATAAGTATTTTCCTGTATATTTTGTGAGTTCAGTAGGTTCTGTGGTAACTCTTTATACTTCACTACATTTCTAGAACAGTCATAGCTAATAAATGTGGCCAAAGCATCTGGAAAGTCCATTATGATTTTCTGTATCTAAATTTTTTTTAACTCTCTTAGTCATATCACAATAGAACGTAAGTGGAGCCAACTAGAGAATCATTGGTGGAATATAAAAATAACTAAATTCTCTTACAGAAGGTTGGAATGTCTTGGACAGAATTATATTGTAGGAGAAAAAACAATTAAAAGTTATGTTGTGACTGTTGTAGTTTGTACTCTCTGTTGTGGTTTCTTTCTTGATACAGAGAAAAAGAACTGTGAATAACAGAAGCCTAAGTGTCATCTCAGTGCCACATACTGACAAACTCAGGATTGCCCACGGGAGTTAAATGTTAATAAATTTGAGGCCTCTGCCTTAGGTCCTCAAATACCAAATTCTCTAAATATAGAGTATGAAATATGGACAGGAGATGGGTTTATTAAATTGACTCCATGCCTTTCAGGTGTGGTAACGCCATGCTTTACTTTTGAGCCTTTCAATGGATTAATGCAACTTGTATTTTAGTCTTTGTGGAGACAAAGTCCAGTGAATATTTAGCATTATTATGATTTCAGACATAGTAAAATCACATATCAACACATAGCAAAGGAGGGAAAATTCCATTATCCATTCACAACTATTTCCTGTGATAATACAGATGTTACCCAGGACAGATCTTTGAAATGGATACCGATTCTTTAAATTCTTTCCTGTCTGTTTCAGGAAATAGTGAGATCCTGTTGATAATAATGTACAATGTGTCTAAAGTTCACTTCTAAACACTTGGCTCTTTGCTGTGAAAGTCATCTGCATTCCCTTTATAATTCTCAGCCACCAGAGATCTGCTTAATCTTGGAGATCTGATCCAATATCATTCGGAAAAATCCTTGATAATAGTTTCACCATTCAGTCAATGAAAGAACTAAAGCTTCCTACTTGTGTCTTCTTAAAAAAAATCCTGAGGCAGAGGAATAAGAACTTGGCTGATGGATTTGGAGCTTTTGTTGTTTGCAAATAAAATTATTATTACTATTATTATTCAAGTTCTTAATCAAGGCAAGCAAATGGCATCTGTTTGTTATCGTCCTTCCTACAGAAGACAAAGGCTTCAGTCCCTATGGTACTGACTGCTGGCCCCAAGTGGTTGCTGGATGTGACTTGGCAAGGAGTAGAAGACAACAAAAACAACTGCATTGTGTACAGCAAAGGTAAACACAAGCTTATTTTTTTTTCTCTACTTTCCTATGTGAGCTACTGAGACAAACATATACCTGTTGCATAATAGGAAAACTAATAGTATGTCTCCCCTTAATGTCAGTTTTCCCTCTCATTTTCCTCCCACGTTCTGGTTTTGCCTTTTTTTTTAATTTTAGTTATATAAAAACCCCACATAGTCTCTGCAGTTTATTAAACGCTTTTTAAACACCAAAGGACATCAGGTGACATAAGGCATACCGTCCATTTCTCTCTGAGAGTTAGTGCCTCTTGGGAAACATCAGTAAAATCTATACACTTTGAACAGATGAATTCTTTTGGGCATTTTATTGGGCATACTGGATATCATTTCTCCATGTTACGTTACATTACATTGTAGACTACTAACTGAAATCCAGTTTTGTAAGAAGAGTGAGGACTTGATTGGACTATGAAAAGACTTTATGTCAGCATGGTAACAGAGGATAACTGGAACTGGGTTTCAGGGTTGTCACCTCTGACATTCCAGTCTCTGTGTAGTAGCCTGATGTGATGATGCTTCACTGAAATGTATTGGCTCGTTGTAGTGGGTAGCACTTCCGTCTTATGTGAATTGTCAGATTTGCTCAAGCCAGTACAAGTTCTTATGAGGCTCCCTACCAAACTTGCTTTATCTAACCTACCACATCTAACAGCTCCTTTGGTTCAAGATGCAAAGGCTTTTGTCTTGCATCTTTAAACAACCCAAAGAGTCTCAGGTTCAGTCCATAGCACCATGGACTATGCACCACACTGTCCGGTCAGTCACTGTGAAAGCTTTTAAATGCAGTTATGGAATCATTACAGTACGTTAAAAAAAAAAAAAAAAAAGATAAACAAAACACCACTTGAATATATGGAATAAAAATAACTTCCTTAGTGTAGCCGTGTTTGGCATTCACCCTAAAGATCAGGTTGCAAAACTATGACTTTCCTTCCTTGTATTTCAATCACCAATCTCAGCACTTTGTGAATACTTCAGAACGTGCACTGTTCTTGTTTAATTTCTTTTAGGTTTTATTTCTAACCGAACAGACCTACTGAGATCAAAGATTTGTTTGCCGAGGCAACCTAGTGACCATTTCAGCATACAAGCATCCAGGCAAATAAGCATCCATATCAATATATTAACATACAAAACACTAATCATAACATCAAAGACTCCTAAAAACTTACTAGAAACAATTACAACTTGTTCCTATAATCATTGCAATTTATACACTTATAAGAGGATTGCTTTTAAACTGCCACAAGCCTTTGAAAGTTGAAACGCTGAAAACAGGGAATTTGCATGTTAAAAATGATTCGCACACCAGGGTCTTATAAATTCTTTCTATTATAATTACAGAATGTCAACACATTCATTCTACAACCTGAAACACCTGCAGTACTAGAGAACTGGGCTCAGATCTAAAAAGGGTTGAGCTGCCCTCCCTTTACAGCTTGCTGATTGCAGCCCAAGTGGAAGAAGCAGCAAAGTGCTCTGAGTAACGAACACAGTGAAGCTTTTCTCATGACTCCAGAGCTGCAGTTTGCTGTTCATAGTGTGGAATGATCACAGGCAAACTTTCCTGCAACAACATTTTAATGTAATGGGAAACTACTTTCCCTCCAAAATATAGCTTCTGCAAATTCCCATAGGATGATATCTTATCAGGTATTACATTCTTTAGCACGTATTTACCAGTTGGACTTTTCATCTTCAAAGTACTTTACTAACACTAACTAATTCATTAGACAGTTTCAGTGCTATCTGTCAGATTTATTCTACTGAAATACAATTTTTTTTGTCAAATACTGAGAACTTACTTCAGTTTGATACAATATGATTAGCCTAAAACATTAGTTTTTTCATTCAAAGGTGATGGATTTTTTTTCACTGATTATACTGGTTACTTTAGTACTTGGTTAACAAGGTATGATGAGACAGTTACACAATACTCATGGTGAATTCTATTGTCTTTACCAGAGATGTCTATTATAACTAAAGTTGAGGGTAAATTTGAGGATAAATACATGTTTAAAACTTGCTACTTCACTAAATTAATGCAGGAAATAAGTTACAGATATGCTTCGCCTTCACTGCATTCTGTTCCTCTCTTTTCACTTTGAGGTGGCTGTTCTGTCAGTCATTAAGCACCTACTCTTGCCTTGAGCTCTGCTGGGATTTTCGTACTAGAAAGATTAATTGACTTGGATCACAAAACAATGTCAAATAGAAGATGGTAAAATAAATAAATAGAATAATGTTTCTTCCTTCAATTTGTATCTCATCATTCCAGATTACATTGCTTTGATTTGTGTTAGCTTTCTGTCTCCTACAGTGCCATTACTTCTAATGAAACGGTGTCAGCTGGCATGTAGCTGTAATTCGATGTTATGTTGTAGTTGCATGTGTATAATTTTGTTAGTTTGCTTAGCAATACATTGTTATTTCTGAAAGCAGTTAGCTGAACAAATGTGTGGAATTGTCTATGTAGCAGATTTGGTCACCTGGAAGCTGTTTTCCATACTATACTCAAGATGAGATGAGTGGAGTAAATAGGCACATTTCTAAGAGGAAGATAAGTTTAGAATTGGCTAGAAGTACATGGTGCTGGTCGATCAGTTGCTGACTCAGAAGCACATGCCATATTTCCTTTTAGCTTATTACAGTGATATCTTTGAGAGCAGAATTTTCCCCAGATCTTTCAGAAGAACATAGGAATGTTAGTCTGATTTCCAGTTCTCTAGACATTGTGAGCACTGTAATCACCCACATATTGCACACAGAATAATCATGGGGATAGGAGCCTAGAATGCAGGTTTTATTAAAAAAGAATTTACGCTGGCCAGCTAACTCCCTATTTCCCTTCAATGTTCTCCATAAAATATTTTCTCTAAACAAGCAAACACAGAAAGTGTGTGTGCATATGTATGTGTATATATATGTGATGTACACATATAGGATTATGTTGCTGAGTTACTACAGTGGAATCACAAATCTTTAGACGAAGAAAACAGTTATTAAAAAACACACATCAGAATACATTGAGTGAATAGCTATGAAATAAATATTCAACATTTGAAATTAGTGGTATTCTAATTAATCTACTTAGTCTAGGATCACTACCTGTATTTTTATAACTACATTTCCCCAATACTAGGACAAGGAAACTTTTACAACTGCAATTATATTTCTAAAAAAATGCTCTTTTTTTCAATATTTACCTCAAACTTCTCTTATGTTTCAAAAACAGTCTGTTCACTAATTTGAGATATGTCCTAGAAACTGAGATTTGAGAGACAGATTTTATGGATTTTAGCTTATCTAGAATTATAAATATGTTATTTTTAAAAACAGCTACAGTGTAATTCAGGCAAGATATATTGTTAGAAAGTATAGATGCATGAACTGTATGGTCATTGCCAAATGGGGTACTTGAGAAACATTCGTGCCTAACAGAGTTGTTCAGCAGACCTGGAAAATCTCTAAGACCACAGGTAGGAGTCACCTCGCAAGCTAGGAGGGGGCTGGGGTATTTACTGCAAATCTCTCACTAGGACGGCAACAATTTTAAAAATTAAATTTTGACTGACCGGAATAGAAACAGTGTAAAAAACACAGTTGCACAGACTAAAAACCATGCTCATATAACAGACATTTTCCTAGATAGTATTTAAACCATTTATGTGAAATGTATGGATACCATATGTTTAGTGGCATTGTTAAAACAGGGTGTCTGTACAAATATTTAGCTGTGGGAATTATAAAATCATAAGGCGATTAAGTTAGCTAGTTGTGAAATTCCAATATTGCTTTTTAAATGACTTCAGGATATAGGAGGTGCTAAGGTTATTATCTGTTATCAGGAATACAGCGGAATTGTACGACTGGATAATAACTAAACAACTGACACAATGTAAAATTACATTATCAGTGTGTTAAAACAAAATTGCGCCCTAAAGGAGTCTACATGCCAGCTCAGAGCTGCAGTGTAATTATGCTTAACTCTGATAATTAAAATACAACGGAGATCAACAGAATCATTTTCATTAAGAAAATTATTAATGATGGTGGTATAACAGTAATTGATTGCAGAGCACCACAGGATAACTCTGTGCAGGAAAACCAACATGTGTAACGTGTGTCCGGGCCGGTTGGGTTGCGTTGTGTACCACTGAGCATGCTGCCGGCCAGGTGGCAGCCGTGGGGCACGTCTCCTGCTGCAAAGCCCGAATCAGAAAATGACCACTTGGCAGGCTACCCCTTGGAGGGAGAGGGATGGGTGCTGGCACATGGGGTAGTGGGATGGGGTCAGGTGTGGCTGCCAAAAAGGAGGGAGCCACAGCACACTTCTTAAGCCAGCAATTGTCTCAGTTTGTGTGAGGCAGCGTTCGGTTTTGCATTTCCATTAGTGATTTATGGATGTTATTTCCTCCTCTGCCTGGCCTCACTGAATAGTTTATGCCCTTCGTTATTTCTGAGAGGATGCTGGAGGAGAAAACCCATCCTCACCCCAGCGCAGTTCCACAGGCACTGCATGACATCTTCGTAAGTGATTCCACAGGATGCTCCTGTTAATTGTGCCAGTGGTGCAGACACATGATACCAAATGCCGTAAAAAGCCTCCATGTCTCCATAAGTGAAATCACAGTCAATGCCCACTGAGCAACTATAACAAAATCCTTGCTAGGGAGAATGTTGCCTAAGGGTGAGATCCAAGAATTGTCATTTTCTTTTGGTGAACGCAAAAACGGAGAGAGGGGGGAGTGAATGCGGGGGAGTTCTGCTGCACACAGCTAAGGGATGGGTGCTTGATCAAACAGATGCAGCTTTTGAAAGCTGCCCAAGAAAGTCTATTCTCCAATCACAACAGAGAAGAAACCTGTTAGTGTGGATTTACAGGATGATATTAGTTAAAATGACAGCTGCCCACACTGAAACTGTGTCAGGTAGCTAATTTATAAATAGCAGCTCGAGGAAAGGCAGCAG